CTTCGAGGTCTTTGCACGTATTCATAGGCTAGGACCGTCTCCCCAGCTTTCCACACGGCTAGCACAAGCTAGTGTCTCAAGCCTCAGCTCGAATATCACTCTTTAAAGGGATGCTCCTCGACTCTCACTAGCCAAAACAGTCACTCCCCACAACACATTCTTTTAGATCGACCAGCTTATAGACTTTTTGCAATGTTTCTAATCTCTAATTAGCGTGATTATTTAACTTACTTCCGGTCTTCCCCACTATACTATAAACTCCCTGAGGGCAGAGATTTTGCCTGTCTTGAATTCCACTCCAAGCTACTTCATTATTTGTAAAATTAGTTCATTTATTTTAAAAGTAATCTCTGCACCCAGTGTGGGGCTCGAATTCACAACCCTGAAATCCAGAGTTGCCGGTCCTACTGAGTGAGCATCCAGTTCTTCATTTCAGCTCAGGTCACGATTTCATGGTTTGTGGGTTTGAGCGGGCTTCTGTTTCCCTCTCTTTGGCCCCTCCCCTGCTCTTGCCCTACGTCTCACAAAATAAATAAATAAACATTAAAAAAATAAAACAAACCCAACGCTCCTCCTCCTCTCTCAGCAGGTTTATTTTAGATTTCCTCCCTTTCAAGCTCTACTGGGTTTTAGTCAAAGAGTAGAATGAATTACTTTGGCATTTACCATGCAACACGCGGAGAGAAAAGGCACACTGAAGAAAGCCGAGACCTCCACCTGCCCACCAGTCTAGACTGGACACAGACTGCACATAGCTATTCAACAGTTGCTCCTTATAAAATTTTTCAAAGTGTTAGGAAAGAGAAACGTGCGCATATGCAAAGACGACATAATTTTGTCATCTGCATCACAAAAGTTTTTAACCATTCCCCCTCGCAACTATTAAACAGAACAGTGATTTGAGAGTAAACAAAGGAAAGCACAAAATAAACATGGTTCTTGCTCCAGAAAAGTTAATGATTTTATTACTGACTCGGTTTTCTCTCCTTTTGGCCAGGTCAGCTATTCATCACCTGCTCTGGATGGTTCTTCCTGACCTTCTGTGTCCTGAAAGCCTACTCTGTTTTTTTTTTTTTTTAATTTTCTTAATGTTTTATTTATTTCTAGGAGAGAGAGAGAGACAGCGTGAGCAGGGGAGGGTCAGAGAGAGAGGGAGACACAGACTCTGAAACAGGCTCCAGGCTCTGAGCTGGCAGTCAGCACAGAGCCCGACGCGGGGCTCGAACCCACGCACCGTGAGATCATGACCTAAGCGAAAGTTGGACGCTTAACCGACTAAGCCACCCAGGCGCCCCAAGCCTACTCTGTTCTTAAAAGGTCTCATATTTAGAGTAACTTCACCATCCTACTTCCCCAAACCCGAAAGATACCCTCATAATTCAAAATTCTGAAAAGAATCCTATCCTCCGAGGACTGATCTCTAGGTTGCCTTCCTCTCCCCAATCTTTTCTACCCTGTTCCTCATTTCTTTATCAATCTTAGATTCAATTCTATTTTTGTTGCACAGCTGTTTGGACTAAACTAGATGGCCCGGCCACGCCTAGAAGCCTGTATGTTCTATAACTTTTCAGCAGAAGAAAATACACATTTGAAAACGTACTTAGACTTTAAAGTCTTAGAATACCTAAACCTTCTTTCTGTAAGAAAAGTTTCAATAATTCGATAAACGTCGGCTAGAAGAGAAACAAGTGAGAACGGGCAATAAAACTGGGTTGAAACTCAAAGCAATAGGAGTCTCAAGTCTCATGTCCCCATTCAAAAAAGAGCGAGCAGCACGGCATATAGTATAGGACAGCGATATTGCCAATTCAGATCTGTGTCATAGTGGAATCACCTGGAGAGCTTTAGACTAACACAGACTCCTACACATTTGGATTTAGGGCTTGCTGGCTGGGCCAGAATTTCAAAACTGGGAGCTGGGGGCATCAGGAAGTTGAAAGTCAGAAGCTTCAAACTGAGATTGTGTAACACATTAGATGTTTTGAGTAAACCAACAATAATGGAAAAACCCAACTGGCCCAAAAGGTGATGTTACAAACCTGTATTTAAACATATCTCCCCCCAGCTGCTGTTGAAACTCAGATTTGGACATCACATGTGTAAAGCCAAGAACATGGCTTTTGGGAGCCAATGTCAATTCTACCACTTAAAGCTGTGAGTCCATGGGGCACCTGGGTGGCTCACTGGGTTAAGCGAACAACTTCCGCCCAGGTCATAATCTGACGGGTGGTGGGTTGAAGCCCCACGTTGGGCTTTGTGCCGACAGCTCGGAGCCTGGAGCCTGCTTCAGATTCTGTTGTGTCTCCATCTCTCTGCCCCTCCCCTGCTCGTTCGTGCGCTCTCTCTCTTTCTCTCAAATTAAAAAAAATAATAAAACATTTTAAAAATTAAAAAAAAAAGTGAACCCAAGAACAATTTGTGTATCTGGGTGATCCTTCACGGGTATAAACAGAAAATCAAATCAACATTGCAGGGGCTATAAATAAGAATTCAATAAAGGACCAGACACACACACAACAGCAGTGTTCAATATACGGTACGGTCTGATTAAAGGGTCTAAAACAGCCACTATATATACTGTGTTTATAAACACAAGGACACACTTACTGGCGCCCCATGTTACTTTTATCCACTGGAAATTACTTACTTACTTTCCTTCTCTGTGGACTCCTAGAGAGATCAGAGCTTTTCAGACTTTTTTCCTCCTCCCAATTAAAGAGAGTTAAAACCCACATCTCTTAATACAGAGCTATAGCACGACAGATAAATACTGGAATGATTTTAAGGCAACACTTTGGGGAGTCAGAGAACTGAGAAGCCTCATTATATCGATATGAAAGAGACGACCCAAAACAGCGTACGGGGGTTTTGTTTTTGTTTTTGAAAGGGAAAGAAACAAAAAAAAGTCTAAGAGTTTCAAAGAGAGTTTAATTTTTCAGATCATAGTTCTAAGGAACTGGTCTAAGTCACCACCATTTGGAATAATTAAAATGAAAGCCAACAAGCTGTTGCAAATCCCTGGAACCCATAACCTTTCCACTCCGACTACATAAATGTCTCCCCAGGACTGTTTTAAAATAAAGCAACTCAAGAAATAAAACTAACGTAGCGTGCCTACAGGGAACCGCGTCACGAGAAGGCCGACACTGTCCTCGACTCTTTCTTCTTGCAATTTTGTAGCCTGGTTTGACTCTACTCTTCAAAACTAACTCGAAGAGGATGAAGGAGAAGCCTCCATGCCCTGCCCTCGGCCAGGCCAGGAAGACAAAGCCGTCCGGTTTCAGGCCCTAAAAGAGCTGACGAGAAGCGCCCCCCTCACCTCCAATTTTGACCGGAGAGGGTTTGCGGGCTCAGAGAGGGAACCCACCAGCCGCAAGGCCCGACCCCCAGCCCGTTTCTTCCCTCAAGCACCGGTGTTAAGGTGCAAAGACGCCGCCGGCCCCGGCCCCTTCCCGCTCCCGGCCGGCCACCCTGTCTTTTAGGTCCGGGGGCACGGACAAGGTCAAGGCCACGCGGCCCCGGCCCTGGCCCCATTTACAGAATTCTGCACCCTAAGCGTGGCTCGCCGTCGCCCCGACCTCCCGGAGCCCGGGCTGGAGAGCCGTCCACGAAGGGCGCCGCCCGCGCCGCCAGGGAAGATGGCGCCCGCGGAGCAACTGCGCCACCAGCCCTGGCGACGGGCCAGGCCCAGCGCCATCTTAGCGCCTTCCAGCCGCAGCCCCCCCTTCAGGATCCCGCATTCGGGGCCACTCGGGGGGCGCGAACCGCGTCGGGCCCGCGCGCTCTCGGCCAAAATAGTGCCGCCACAGCCTCTCGTCTCTTCGGTCCGGCCGCGCGGGCCCGACGGCAAGTGCCGGGCTGGGCCTCGGGTCCTCGGCGCGGCGCGAGGGCTCGTCCGGCCCGGCCGCGGGTCGTCGGCGGAGCTCCGGAGCCAGGCGGCGAGGCAACGGGGAAGGGCCAGTCCCGCCGGCGGGCGCGCGCAGGACCGGGCCCCGGCTGGGACCGGCGGCCGGCACCGAGCTCTCGCCGCGGCCGCCCGCAGAAGCGGAGGGACGGAAGAAGCCAGGATGAAAAAGAAACCCGGTCCCCGCCGCCTCCCTCCCCACCCTCTCCCCTCCCCCTCCCGAGACGCGGGGTCCATTTTGCCGAGAAGAAAGAAAATGCGATTCACACCCAAGAGCTTCCGAGAGAGAAAAGAAATGAGGGGGGGGGAAAACCGAGGGGAGGAGATTGGAAAAGCTTATTTTTCTTCCTCGCCTGCCGTCACTCCTGGCCCTCCCTGCCCCCTGCTCGCGGCCTCGCCGCGCCGTCCTCCCCTCGGCGAGCCCCGCTCCCTCCTTCCCGGCTCCCGGCGGCTCCGGGGGGCGGAAAACACACTCACACTAGCGCACACAACTAATTTTAAACCGGCTCAATCAATGAGTCATTAAAAGGCTTCCCTCCCCTCTCCTCCCCACCACCAACCGCCACGCCACCCCCCTTCCCAGGCTCTCTCCCTCTCCCCGCTCCAGAAATTTGCATCCGCGGAAAAGGAAAAAAAAAAAAAAAAGGCGCCGGGGCCCCCACCCCGCCGAGGCACCCCCAGCCCAGCCCCGCCGCCCCCTGCCCGCCCGCGCCCCCGCCCGAGACACTGAACTTGGTCTTCCCGGGGCCCGGGCGGCGCTGGGAAAGGCATAAACACTCGATTCCCCTTTTCTCCGTGTCCATTAAACATCCACCCACCACCACCATCACCCACCCACAAACCCACCCCCCCCAAAAAAAAACACAGCCTTAGCCAATAGCTCTCTGGGCTGAAACCTAATATCCTGGTTTTGGCAACTCGGTGTTTAATTTGCTCCTCTTTCTTTTCTGTCTGTCTGGAGATAGATCTCCAGCCCCCCCTCCCTCGCTTTCCCCCTCCCCGAAGGAAAGAGGCAGAGGAAGGAGGTTGTGTGTGTTTTTTTTTTCTCCTTGAAATTTTTATCACAAAATTATAATACACTCAAAGGGAAACTCACCGTCATGAAAAAGCAGTGCCTTGTCAACGGGGTTTCTGCGCCATCGCACCAGGGGCGGCGGCGGCGGCGGCGGGCGCGGGGCGCGGGGCGCGGGCGCGGGAGCTCCCGGCCGAGCGGCGCCGGCCACACGCGCTCCGCTCTCTCTCTCGCTCACCCCCGCGCCGGGCGGCGGGCGCCCGCTCCCCGCGCCCGCCCGGCCTTCATGCTCTGCGCCCGGGCAAACCGCTCGCCTGCTCGTCTACCTCCAAACTTCGGTTCTCGCCTAGCAGAAAATGTGGAGATTAGGGTTTCTTTAATTAAAAAAAAAATTTTTTTTTTTCAAAAATCAAGCTCCCAAGCTGTCAATTCCTGTTTCCTTTGGGATTCTTTTTAACTTCAGGAACGTATTGGTTTATTCAAGAAACAGGTTTATTTGGCCTTTTTTTTTTTTTTTTTTTTTTAAAGATCTACAAGATGCATGCTATTCTTTGCAGGCAACCTGCACACACACACACACACACACTGACACACACACACCAGTTTTAGTTCTTCGGGTAGGAGGGCGCTGGGGGGGGTCAAAAAACAAAAACCACAATATTTGTTTAGACCTCTGATTAGAACCAGTAAATACTTTTTTTTTTTTGCGTATACCTTTTTAAAACAAAAACAACACTTTTACTTAGTTATCTGGCAAACAACTGATTCATTCTAACTTTTAAATGTACTAGGCTTTCCTTTGCAACACCCTCTCTTCCCATTCCGGAGTGCTGTGAAACCTTATCTGTGAAATCCGTAAATCAACATTAAAAAGAAACAAAACACAGCACAACTTTAGCGGCCAAGATGAAGGTGAGGCGCTGATTAAGTTACTCTCAAAACATCCAATTCCTACTGCCTTCTCTTTATGTAGATACCCTTTATTACTACAGTTGTGGAATTTTCGTTAAATGATCCCCAGTCTTAAAAAGGGACCTACATACTTTTTTAACACTCTGGTGCAAGTATAATCACCGCCCGTTTTTAATCTCAGACTGTTGAGACTCTCCATAAACCATCCAGCCCTCTTCCAGCAGTTATGTAAATGTTAATTATGATAGTGTGGATTGGGAAGGGGTGCCTTTGTGTCTAGGTTAATTATGTTTACTTTTCCTGTAAATGCAGCAAAAAAAATGGTGGGGGTCTCCTCTTTTAAATAAACATCAAGGGAAGGTAAACGATGGATCCTACAAGAATGTGGTTTGGATTTTTCAAAACTACATACGTAAGCCCCAGAAACGTTCTAAAATTATTTTAAGTTAGTTTGTAATACATACATGGCAGTGGGAGTCCTGCGGATAAACAGAATATTCAGACCCATGTCCCCCAGATATTTGGTGAGTCTTAAATAAAAATTATCTATAGATTTAAATTATTGAAGTGAAATTTTTAGTTTCTATATCCCCTTAGAATTAAAAAACATAATAGTAGTGCACCTTGCTTGCTTTTACAAGGATACTGTAACTAAGCTATATTGCACAAGATAAATATGTCAAGGTTGGCATACAATGTTGTCAGATTCACGATAGAAAATCTTTTTAAAAAACAAACCACATCTTGCTCCAGTCACTGCTGCTCTGTCATTCACAATGTATGGTTTGTATTTGGACATGCCTTAAAAATATATTCAGTGATTTAGTATCACATAGTATCATCGAGGTGTTTTTCTCAGAAAATGTGCTTCACATTCAGTGAAGGCCTTCCTAGAACAGTAGTCTTTGCATAAATTAGCATATTTCTCTACACTTGACACTTGGACCAACCAGTTTTCTAATTGGCTTGGGAAATTTTTCAACATGTTTTAAAGTTCCCTTGGATTGGCTGGAATTTAATTATAATACCCATTTCGAAGAATTACATTTCAAAAGAGTTCATGGATTATTCATGGCAATTAGGGCCTACCAAGCAAGTTCTACAGCTGTTGCGCCACAGCTCCAATGAAATATTAATGGATTTCGAGAAGCTATTCTCCCAAGTCACCCAAAACCCTGAAGAAACACAACTTTGACTTTAGAAGATCACCAAACAAAATTGAATTAATATACTTATAAAGAGTATGGGGCACTGCAGGATTTTTAAAGAATGTCCAAAGTATAAGAGCACTGACATTTACTGAGAGCCTACTAAGTATCCACCTACATACTTCTATACATTATTGGCTAAACCTTCACACAAACCTGTAGAATAAGGTTTAATCGTCCTGATTTTGCAGCTGAGGCTCCCAATGATTTCAGTAATTTGCCTGGGGTCATCAGTCTAATAAGGGCTGGTGGGGGAGCCCAAGTCAGGTTGACGCTAAAACTCACCCTCTTCAAGGCCTGAAAAGGATCTTGGGAACAAACACTCTTTCCTGTTTTAAACAGGCTTCAATACTGCGGCATAGGCAGAGGGGGCAGCCCTCTAATTTGTGACAACATACTTTGAGAATGCCAGCTGTCAAATCTAATTTTAAATTTTGGGGTGTGTTGCAAAATCCCAGAACAGCAATGGGGAAAACCTCAGATTCACCGGATTACCACCAAAATTGACATCATTTAATAATACAACAAAATAAAAACTTAACTTTTCCCCCACGTGATTAAAAAACACATTTTAAAATAAAGGATATGCCTTTATACATAAAATTTTAAACTGTGGTTTACATAAACAGGAATTTGGTATCTGAATGTAAGATTTGGAAGTATTTTAAGAGGCAAGTTCTTAAAATGGCCTGACTATATACAAATCACTTTAGCGATCGCTTCAGCAGCACATATCCTAAAATGTATACAAATCACTTTATTTTTTTATTTTTATTTTTTTTACAGTTTATTTATTTTTTGAAACAGAGAGAGACAGAGCACGAGTGGGGAACGGGCAGAGAGAGAGGGAGACACAGAATCTGAAACAGGCTCCAGGCTCTGAGCTGTTAGCACAGAGCGTGATGCGGGGCTCGAACCCACGAACTGTGAGATCATGACCTGAACCGAAGTCGGCGCTTAACCGACTGAGCCACCCAGGCGCCCCACAGATCACTTTAATAGCACTGCCTGCAAAGTATGTATAATATAAATGGTCATTCCTGTGATCCCCATCTCTGTGTATGATTTAGAAAGAAGGGCAAGTGGACATAGAAAAAAAAAGGAAGTAATTCAATTAGAATTGAAATGTTCTAGCATGTGTTTGTGCCTCCAAGTAAATGTCATAAATGAAGGCCCGATGTCCACATAAGGTGAAATACATGTTGTTTTTTATTTTTTGTTTCATTTACTTATTTATTTATTTTTGTCTTTTCTCTCCAAATGTTCCTCTTGGTTGGTGGGGCCATTCTCAGAAGAGGAAGAATGCAAATACTGTGAGTCACTGGTGATATGTGTGACTAGCTGTGTCATGATCACAGAAATAACCAAATATATCAGGTGAGTTAGCAAGTGCTCTATAAAGTGTTTGTGAAATAAAAGTTTTAAGATGGTCAGTGTGCATAAATAAGGTGTATACCTTTATTTGCACCTCTGGAGGTACTTATATTCTGGGGCTTAAGTGCATTGGCTCTGTACTCTGGCTGACCTGGCTTCAAATTCTACCCCTGTCACATCCAAAGTGTGTGGCTTTGGGCAACTCACTTCACCATTCAGAGCCTCTACTTCCTCATCTATAAAACAGAGTAATTATAATCATGTCTGAGAGTTATTTTAAGGATTCAGGAACTAGTGCATGCAAAATGTTTAGCATGGTAGCTGAAAGATATGAGAGGTCACGATATTTAGCTAATATTACATTGCCTTATTTTAGTTATGTATCAGTGATTTATTTTATTACATACTATGTAATTTCCCAATGGCAATCTCCTGTGATTCAACCTAATCTCTCTCTCTCATGTTCCTTCCTGGACAGGGAACTCCTCAAGGGCTGACTATTCTCTAAGGGCCTAGCAGAGTACTTTGTACACAGTCATCTCACAGTCAGTACTTGTGGGATAAAAGAGAAACAGCCCAGTCTACAAGATGCATTAGAACACAAGAAATCAATCTATAACTAAAGACCTATATATCAAGGGAGTGTAGTAAGTCCCCTAGAACCACTGCCCAATGGATCACAGGCAGAAGAAGCTAATGGTTCTTCCTTTCTTTCCCCCCCAACTCCCCACCACTCTCTAGAGTTAGAGCTCTATCACTGCCACTTTTTAGCCATGTGATCTCTTTGCCTACTTTTTAAACTTCTCTTACCTTTGTTTCCTCATCTGTAACATGAAGGTCACATACCTATATCTGAGGTTGGTGGAGGGACAGTTAAATCACATTAGGTATACAAAATCCTTGCCTTAGAACCTGCTATGTAGTGGGGCGCCTGGGGGGCTCAGTGGTTAAGCATCTGACTTGACTCTTGATTTTGGCGTAGTTCATGATCTCACAGTTCTTGAGATCAAGCCCCATGCCAGGCTCTGCACTGACAGCTCAGAGCCTGCTTGGGATTCTGTCTCTCCTTTACCCTACCCCTTTCCCACTCACGCATGTGCACGCACTCAAAATAAATAAATAAACTTCAAAAAAGAACCTGATATATAGTAAATATTCAGTAACAGTTACCGTTATTCTTGTGCCTGTTAATGCTATCATTAGAAGTAATGTGGAACTGTTTTCAAAGCAATCCTAAACAAGCAATTTATTGGATTACAACTGTTTTCAAAACCTTGCCTACATTATTTGATACATGAATATAAACACTTTAAATCATCTTTGTAGAGACTAAGGCTATTCTAGTCATGACGTATTTCAAGCTGGTTATTTTCCTTGACAGATTTTAAAAAGTCTGAACTCCTACAAGCTTCTAGTACAAGGATAAGGAGTATAACAGAACTGTTAAAAAAAAAAAAAAAAGGCATTCAGCACTCCCACTGGACTTGCTGTCTTACACATCTAGCCTGCTTCCCCACAGAGTTATGTGAGGGGGAGGACAGTCATCAGGTTAAGGAGGACATCACACGCCGCTGGAAGGCATGGCTGGGATGTGTCACTCATCAACTCTCCAGCCTCTCTGGTGCTCTGCCAGGACTCCTAACCTCTCCTAAACAGAGCATTCCTTCCCCACCACCGTGCCCAGGAGGATGGTGGACTAGAGAGGCAGGAGAAGAGCAATCTCATCGGCTTTAGGTTGCTGCTTTAAAGCACCCTCAGTAGGGCACCTGGGTGGCTCGGTAAGGTCATAATCTCACAGTTCGTGAGTTCGAGCCCCGCGTCTGGCTTTGTGTTGACAGCTCAGAGC